GGATCCAAGAACAAAGAATGTGATCTTTATGGGGATCACCTCTGGTGTGAAAGGCTATTATCTTTGGTGTCCAGAAACAAAGAAAATAATCTTCAGCAGGGATGTTACCTTTGATGAAACCATGTTGAGAAAAGTGACTTCAGAAAAATTGGACCAGACAGATGAAACTCCCAAACAAGTGGAGTTTGAAGAAAGCAGAATTGACCCAGCCAGTAAAGAAACTGATGTTGACTCTCCTATGGTAGAAGAAGAGTCAGATGAAGAAGAGGTTCAGACCCAAGAACCTCCACAGCAACATGAATCATTTGCACTCAAAAAGGAAAAGAGGACCATTAGACAACCTGCTCGTTATGCTGATATGGTCTCTTTTGCATCACCAATTACAATTGATGGCGTTCCTGCCACTTTTAATGAAGCAGTCCAAAGTTCAGAACATAAAAAGTGGAGGATCGCCATGAATGAAGAAATGCAATCCCTTCAAAAGAATCAAACGTGGAAACTAGCTAGTCTTCCGAAAGAAAAGAAGGCAATTGGGTGCAAGTGGGTATATGCAAAGAAAGATGGATTTCCTGACAAGAATAACATCCGCTACAAAGCAAGATTGGTGGCTAAAGGCTACGCTCAAACGGAGGGAGTTGATTATAATGAAGTATTTTCTCCAGTTGTAAAACATTCCTCCATCAGAATTTTGTTGGCTTTGGTAGCGCAGTTGGATTTGGAACTAGTTCAGATGGATGTAAAAATTGCATTTTTACATGGAAACTTGGATGAGGAAATCTACTGACTCAGCCAGATGGATTCAAAGTTGCTGAAAAAGAAAAGATGGTGTGCAAATTAGAAAAATTGTTGTACGTTTGAAGCAATCTCCAAGGCAGTGGTACAAGCGATTTGACAAGTTTATGATAGGGCAGAAGTACACAAGAAACAAATATGATCATTGTGTGTATTTACGCAAGCTACAAGACGGATCTCATATATATCTTCTTCTTTATGTTGATGATATGCTGATAGCTTCCAGGAGTCAGACATAAATTGCGAAACTAAAGACTCAATTGAACAGGGAGTTTGAGATGAAGGATCTTGGTGAAGCGGAGAAGATTCTAGGCATGGAGATATCAAGGGATAAGAAATTCGGGATACTTTGTTTGTCTCAGAAAGAATATCTGAGGAAGTTACTAAATGTTTTGGCATGAATGAGAAGTCAAAGCCAGTTAGTACACCTCTTGCTCCTCATTTCAAGCTCGGTGCATCCATGTCACCTAAGGATGATGCAGAACGGGAATACATGTCAAAAGTTCCTTACGCAAGTGTTGTTGGTAGCTTGATGTATGCAATGGTGTGTACGAGACCCGATATTTCACAGGCAGTTGGGGTTGTGAGCAGGTATATGCATGATCCTGGAAAGGAGCATTGGCAAGCTGTGAAATGGATTCTGCGGTATATTCTGAACACCGTAGATGTTGGTTTGGTCTTTCAGCAGGACAAACAAGATGGTCAGTGTGTAGTTGGGTATTGTGATTCAGACTATGCTGGTGATTTGGACAAGCATCAATCAACTATTATTTATGTGTTTACATTTGCAAAGGCACCAGTCAGTTGAAAGTCCACCTTACAGTCAACAGTGGCTTTGTCTACTACAGAGGCAGAGTATATGGCAGTTACAGAGGCTGTGAAGGAGGCAATTTGGCTTCAAGGGTTTCTTGGTGAATTGGGAATGGAACAGAAGCACATCAAAGTGCACTGTGACAATCAGAGTGCTATTAATTTAGCAAAGAACCAGGTTTACCATACAAGGACGAAGCACATCGATGTGAGAATCCTGCTGATATGTTGACAAAAGTGGTAACTGCGGTCAAGTTTAAACATTGTTTAGACTTGGTCAATATTGTTACAAATTGAAAGATGAATTTGCAGACATTACTGAAGATTGGATTTTTTAGAGATGTGTGTGAAATTTTCCAAGGTGGAGATTTGTTGGTTTTTTGGCAAAGTCCCACGTTGTTTTTTGGTAAAGTCTCACATTGGTTGTGTATAAGGATGAGAAATTCTTTTGTTATAAATAGATGCCTCATCCTCCTTAGTTAAGCATCCCACAAATATAAGCCTTCTTCACTATTAAAGGTTATTGTACTCTTTCTCTCTTTGTAATATTTTCTCTATTAGTGAAATATTATTTTAATAGTGTTCGAGGACATAGGCATAATTTTGGCCGAACCTCGTTAAATTTTGGTGTTCCTTTTATGTCTATTTAATAGATATTGTCAGGTATAGTTGTTGTTAATTATTATCCTATTAAAATTACTTGTTTTGGTAGTTTTGTCTAAGAAAAGTGGGTTTTAAGAGGGATCATAGTGACCCCTCATCTTTCCTGAAAATCTACCTTGGAGTGATTTTTAGTACAATAGTTTTCACACTAGTCACCTAAATAATAGTTTTCAAGGTGAATTTATTATTATTGGTGGAAATTAACCCGAATTCCACAACATAAATGAAATCAATAAAACATTTCATCTAATCATTATAATTTATAAATATTGTTGAATTGAATACATTTTTCAATTTTTTAGGGGAAATAAGAATTCATCGTCATATATTTGCGGTTCATTCATTAAAATTTAAAATGTTCCTTAAAGAGAGGAAAGCTTACACTGTTAACACGCTCTGAACAGAGCCCAAAGAGACAAAGATCAAGAGAAACAAAAATCTTTGGAAACACAATCCGTACGAGCACAAAAGGGAAAGAAATATAATAAATGAGATACTTCAACAGTCGACAACATTTTGAAAATTAAGGACAAATTTAAGAGTAGTTGATAGTAATTATCTCTTAAAAATTTTAAATTATTATATATTTTAATATTTTATGTATTTTTAATTAATACTTTTTTTTATTTCTTAAAATTTTATAAGTTTATATTTCTTAAAATTTTATAAATTTTCTCTTTTTAACATAAAATTCTAGTTTCGTCCATGCTGAAAACCTACAAAAAAAAAATGATTTAGTATAAAAATAAGTGTTCAAATTATGTCTCTAAAAATATTTTAGTGTCTAAATAATTTTTCACTAAAAATAAGTGTCTAAAGTTTTCTCAGTTATACTTTTATATGTCCACCATCTATATTTTAATTTTTTTAATAATAAAAATATTATTTTTAATTGAAATAGTTTATTTACAAAAAAAACCCCACTTTTTTTACTGAAATTATAAAAAACTCTAAAAACTAAAATCTCTCATTTCAACCCCATTATCAACCGTTATCAGCCATCTCCGACCACCATCATCATCGTCGAACGATCACCCACCCATCGTCATCCACTCATTGATCAATCGTCGTCTTTATCGTGACAAAAAAATCTTAAATCTAACCCCCAAAATTCAAATCCCTAATTCACAATTTCAACTTCCTAATCCAAACGATGATGGTTACTACTAGCCGGTCAACGACCTATTGAAGTGGGCAGAGGAAAGGGGAAAGGGCAAGGGGGAGAGGGGAGAGGGAACACGCGAGGCTACAGTTTGGTTGTTTTTTTATGTAAAAAATATTTTTATTTTTTTAATTTTTAAAAAAATCAAAATTATACATGACATGTGTCACTTAACAAAGATATTTAATGGTTGTTAAAGTTCAGACATCTAAATATAATTTTTGAAATATTAAACACATATTTTTAACGAAAATTTATTTAGACACTGAAACATTTTTCGATGCATAATTTAGACACTTATTTTTATATTAAGAAAAAAAAATTGAAAACAAGATGAGGAGATCAATCACCCTATAGACGTTTCCATCCTACATATTCGTCCTTCTCTTGAGAGCTCCATGACAAGTGAGAGTTTCGTGTCCACCATTTTAAATCACAGTCCATTTACCTGTGTAAATGATCTTACACCTTTTGGGCATTCACATTCTAAATATCTACACGTAACAAATTGTCATATTCTTAGTTCATCATTATGCAGTATACCAGCCAAGCATCTAAGATCACGTTTGTTTACTTCATACACACACTTAGACCCATAATCACAATATGGGTATAAGAGAAAACATTACTAAATTCAAAAAATCAAAGAAATTTGTGATTTCGGAGATACGATTTGAACCGATCTTTAACAAAATTTATTCTAAACTTGAAGAACGCTGATTTTTTAAATAGTTATTTTAATTTTTATGTATTTAAAAAGAAATTAAAAGATATATTGTGTCAAGTATTTATATTGATAGGATTTTTGAATAATAAAGATTTAATAAATTATTTTAAATTAAGATTAATTGGATATAATGTGTAAGTATTGAATACCATTTATATTAAATCAACAGTCATACCTTAGGATTAGAGATGCATTTTAATATGAAATCAATAGATTCCAATTAGACATGATCTGATAGTTAGATTTAAAAAAAAAGGTTCAGGTCAGGTTCTGCTTCAAGTAGAGGATGAAAAAATACTGACCAGACCCGAGGGTAACAGTGTAATTTCATTAAATTAATGTATGAATAATTATTATAATACCTCTTATCTCTATTTTTTAATTAAGTATTTATTTTATACCGAGTCGTGCCAAGTCAGATTTATACTCTAAATATTTGAGTCGAGTCGATGTTAGGTGGAATATATATTTTTTTTTTGAGTAAGATTGAGTATATGATAATATCTTCCAATTCGGGTTGAATTAACAAAAAAATCCGGTCTAATCCGACCGGATACCAACCCTACTTAGGATAGATCAACAAAACTGAAATGAAACGTAGATTGAATATAATTTTAAAGAAAAAATAATTAAATAATCAAAACAAAAATACAGAAATAAGTGTATGATCAGAAAAATAGTTTCCCTTCAACCTAACTCTTAAGTTTGAGACAGTCTTCATTCCTTTGGTTTTAACGTTTTCTTGTGCAGGCTTTGGAATCTCATTCCAGTAAGGCTAGAAGCTGAAGCTTTATTCTTATTTTCTTGGCCAAAATATAATACAAGCTGAGTGAGAGAATTTCCCTCTTTCCAATGACTACTACTTCAGCTCCGATATTTCCGGCGAATACGCCGATCCCGATTGATCTATTCGTTTCCAAGAAGCACCCTGGCCTCCCACGTGGCGTCATAGAATTCACGGATTATTCCGAGAATATCGTTTACAGGGTCAACCGTCAATTCCCCAAATCATCTTCAAACGGCAAGGCGGTTCTCCTTGATTCCGCGGGAAATCCTCTGTTCTCTCTCTACCCTCATCATGTTAGTTTCTCAATCTATGCAAATTCATCAAAATGATTTTATTTTATTAATTTGTTTTTTTTTCTTTAACTTTGGTTGATTAGAAAGTACTCCTTAGGAGTTAGATGATTAGATCTGGTCGTCGTTGTTGAGTTTTGTCTCATTTCCTACATGTAAATGCTTATATATGTTTCCTGATTCAAGGATGGGTCGTGGCAAGGTTTTAAGGGCGATGAAGGTGACAAGGATCTGATATTCAAAGTCCAGAGGATAGTGACCAAGTTAACAAGAACTGAGCTGGAGGTATTTCTTGTTGCTGAAAATCAAGGACAAGGAGAGCTAACTTGTGATTTCAAGGTCATAGGCTGCCATTTCCAAAGATCTTGCACCATCTACAAAGGCGATTCCATTGTGGCTCAGGTATAATCTTTAATTCACTCTCGTTCCAGTTTTCAAACTAAGGCGTCAATGAACCGAATCAATTACTACTACTTGACTGATATTAGCTCCAGATGCTTCCTCGGGATACTTTTTCTAAGTCCTTTTTAGCACTTTAAATGGTTTCTCTTCAGAACCATATTTATAGCTATGGATGTGTGTCGTCCTATGTCCAAGTTTGTTATAGGTTTCCTACATAGGAGATCATTGAGATATAATGAAATAGTTTGTTCATAGAATCAAATTCCTTTATCATCTTCTGTATTCGGATTAGAAACTTGTCTCACATGTGGGATATAGGATTCTTGTTGATGGTCTTCTGTAGAGCTACGAGAGTTGACATCATGGGATGCACTCCGATACTCAAGTTAGCAATTATAGGATCCATTTTGCTTTCCTTGATACTCGGCAGTTGCCACTTCCATTCTCTTTTGATTTGTGTTCCATTTAGTTAAGGGGTATAACAAAACAATTGCTGGTTCCTTAATCGTTGTTATAGGCCCCTACTTGAATTATGTTACTGGTTCATACACTATAGGTTCTTTTTCATACTTTCTTTGTAGTTGTAGTGCTGCACATTTTTGCATTCTAATTCAATGCTTTCACTAATGCAGACCAGTCTTATGCACAAACTACGTCAGATTTATGTTAGTAGAAGCAAATTTCAACTGACCATTTTTCCTGGCTCAGTAGATCCTTCTTTGGTTGTTGCACTTGTGGCAATATTCTTGTTTAGTGGTCCCAAGAAATTCCGAGTTCTGGATAAATTTCCCATATCTGTATGAAGTTGGAAAAAGTTAGGAAATAACTCAAACAAATGGAAACTGTTGGCAAACCCAAAACTGGTGGGGGAGGTTGGTTAGATAATTAGATATCTCTTTTAGACAGTTTAATATTCTGTTGTGATGGCGTTGAGTTTCTGGGGATCATGCAGATAACTGCAAGTATTATTTCTCAAAAATCAGGATGGAGAGGGAGATGACAGCCGTGATGAAAGTGTGTGATTGTGGGCAACTTGCCAAAATTGTGGGAGGGTGGCGTGAAGAGACTGTATGGTGGAAGGTAATACAAAAGCTGTTTCTATGGAGGGCAATTGTTTCAGTTAGATGGATATAGGCCCCCTTATTATTTGTGTTGTTCAAGTAAGTCTATCATTCATAGCAAAACAAAGTGTTACAGCAGAGATAGCAACTCAACAGGTGGTTGCTGAATCCACAAATGAGGGCCTTGCCTCTCGCTCATTTTCTTGGCAACCCAGTCCTCTGGTTTGTTCTGTTCCCTAAAGACATGACAACAACTCAGGTCACTATATTTTGAGACAGAAGAACATTGCCAACTATGGACACAATCTCCGAAGTTTTGCATCCGTTTCCATTGATGGCTTTTATTAATGCTTCTCAGTCTGACTCTAAGATTACATTCTGCCATCCTTTTGCAGCTATAAGATTGAAACCTAGCCTTAAAGCAAGAGCTTTAGTCACTAGTGTTGACAAAATGCACACTTCTGTGTCGATTCCATCAACAGTTTTTCCATTGCTGTTCCTATCAATAGCAGTAATACAAGCCATTTCAGATTGGATTAAGAGTGCCGCATTTTCAGTTGAATTTGATAACCTGTGGAGGTGGCTTAGACTATCCCGCACCACACCTTGGTGAGCCGCAGGCCTTTGGTTGAAGCCTGTTGAGTGAATTCCTGGTAACCAAAGAAAGCCTCATTCCACACCGCTATCAGGTCGACTTCCTTCCTTTCAAATGTCAGCCTATTGCGTGCCTTCCAAATTCCCCAACATTTTGGAGCATTTGGTTTGTCTAAACTGTCAAGTTGGTAGTAAGAATTGGCCAATTTTTTAATTGATGAAAATTACTACGATTAGAAAATGGACTTCTTGTTTGTTTGTTTTCCTTAGGGAAATAGGAAGGTAGAAAAAGGGTGTATGAGTTGGATTTTTAGGTATGGTAGTACTGTTATTTAATGATATGGAAATTACTACATTGTTTCGCCAGTTGATTAAAATGTCCTATTACTACATTGTTCAGCAAATTGATCCTATTACTACATTGTTCAGCAAATTGATTAAAGTGTCCATCGAGTTTAGAATATAAGAAGTGCACATATATTTCTTTCGGGCAGGACCGTTTTTGAGATTTTAGTTGTTATTGGGCGATGTAAAAAATTAGCCCTTAATTAGGGATTTAAGTTACAGTTTGCATTTGTATCTTTGATTAGTTGCGTTTATTGCTATTACGAACATAACAGATGATATTGCAGTCAGTACAAGTATCATGGTTGTGAATTTTTAACAACATATGATAATGTGGGTATAATGTTATGGATATCAAAGTTTTGGATGATGTCATTATCAATACATAATGGTCGTTGTTGTGGTTGTAGACTGTTATTTAAGTAATTGTTTCTAATAACAAGTGTTGAAAAAATAAATTTTAAGAGTAGCTCCATAATAATAAGTTTTGAAAAAATAAATCTCTAATAACAGTTATTAAAAATAAATAAATTTTAAGAGTATGCTTATAAAAAAAATACTGGAAAAATTGGACTAACAATAATAAAAATACATATTAAAAAAGAAATTGAATTTTAAAAATTATATACCTTCTAACAAATATTGAAAAAAATTTAGGCATCTGATAACAAATATTGAAAAATTTTGGCCCTTAATAGAAAATGTTAGAAAAAATATTGGTAAAAAATTGGATACTTACACAAATTTTATAAAAAAAATAAATTATATGAGTAGTCCTTTAATAATAAATATTAGAAAAAAATTGAACCTATAATAATAAGTATTAGAATAAAAAAACTTTAATAATAAATATTAAAATAATTGAGTCCTATAACATTTTTTTACAAGTATAAATGTATTATAAAAATTTTAGGCTTTAGGTAGGTGTCCCTCTAGTCTAAGCCCATTTACGACCCTATTTTTAGGTATGTGTGGTTTGTGATAAAGATATATTACTGAAATCATTATGTGATATATTACTGAAAACATTACACTATTAATATATTGTTTTATTATTATGTTTAGTTTGTTTAATACGAATATGAAAGTATAATATTTAGTTAGAAGAATATAATTTTTTTTAAAACTAAATTTTATCAAATTATTTTTTTGTATCTCTAACATGTTAAACTTTCAATATTAAATTAAAAATATGTACATATAAATTCATAAATTATTTTTTGCACTATTTAAATTTTAATATAAATTATTTAACATATTATTTACTTGATTAATATATTAAACTTATATTTTAAAATGCTTTTCATAGTATTTATTTATTTATATATGAGATATAATAAAATATAAAAAATAAATAATATTGTTATATCGAGTACATAAATATCACAAAATGCTAGAGTTTTTAAGGTTTGCTTTATCATGATTGAAAATAAAATAAAATTCAACCCGATTAAATACTAAAGAAAAGGAAAGGAAAAATAGATTTTATAAGAATCCAAATTGACATTTATCGGTTTGATTATTTAAAAGTCTATTAATTTAGCTTTTCTAAATATTCAAATTGACATTTAACGATCTTCAATAACCAAAAACCTCAAATAATAATGAAAAAGACATTTGACATCTACCTTAACAGCCAAAATAAATACAAGATGTAGTTTACACACTTTCTAAACTGTAGGTTAAAGATTAGGGATGGCAACGGATTGGTTAGGGTTAGTTTTTAGTTAATCTGATCCGATCTGAAAGATAGGTTTCTTCTACTTCGAATCCGATCTGAAAAATATATATCTTATACTCGACTTTTATTCGACTTGAATTTTTAGAATATAAATCTGACCCGACCCAATAAAAAAAGATTTAATTAAAAATAATAAAATTAAAAAAAATATATTATTATCCTCAGGTCGAGTCGGATAAGAGTTTTTTCATTCTCTACACGAATCTCACATGACTCACCCCTTAAAAATTCCCACCCGACCCAAATTCGTTTTTTTTATTAGAAAAATTTAATCCTATTAAATCGAATCAGAAAGTGTAAAGCCTAACAAAAGTGGAGCTAGAGCTGTAACATCAAAAGCCCAGTGGCTTAACTCTCTTCTTCCTAAGCCTCCTCCAGTGAAGTCCCTACAACATTCATATTCCCCTTGGTTCTGGGCAAATACAGCGAAAATGCTAACTGCGGATATACCTCCAAATCAAACTATTTACATCAAGAACCTCAACGAGAAGATCAAAAAAGAAGGTACGCACCCCCATCTGCCTCTCTCATCTTTTGTTTCCCTAATTGTGGGGTTTAAGTTTAACCCTAACGTTGCCCTTTTTACTAGCAAATTGAGGTCGAAAATCGTACGTATCCAAATGATGCCTAAGCGGTTTGGAGTAACTGGGATTGATTTCCATTAACAGTTTCTTCTCTCTTCTTTTGTTCAGAATTGAAGAGATCCCTTTATTGTTTATTTTCTCAATATGGAAGGATTTTGGATGTTGTTGCCTTGAAGACGCCCAAGCTTCGTGGACAAGGTTGGGTTGTGTTTGACGAGTTGATGGCTGCTAGTAACGCCTTCCGTCAAATGCAAAATTTTCCATTTTACGATAAACCTATGGTGAGAGCCTTAATATGTCGTGACTCGTGACATTGATTGCTTTAAAAACCGAAATCAAAGTGAACAATGTCTCTTTCTTTTAACTTTAATGATGTTTGTGCTTCATTTGATATGGGGTTTCTATCACTCAATGGTGTCATTTTAAGTTCGGTTCCTCTGGATATGAGATTGAACCACCTGAAATTATCGTGTGAACCCATTTTGCTGAAACTTTGAGCCATTTTAGCTTTTATTTTGAATTAGGGAAATTGTTCCTTCTGAACCCAAGGAAGAGTTTATATTTATGTGATTCCTAGATTTGATTGTCTGTATGATTGATTTGGTGCAGCGGATACAATATGCCAAGACAAAATCTGATTGTATTGCCAAAAATGACGGAAGCTTTGTTCCCAGAGAAAAGAAGAAGAAGCAAGAAGAAAAAGGTTATTGTTTCACCTTATAGTTCTTTAAAATTTTCCATATGCATAACGTATGGTCTTTATTGACTCTAACAAAATGATTTCTCCTATATTTCATTATGTTATTGTGTAAATGTAATTATTGAAGTTATGCATATATGACTTTAATTATGAATTTCATCCCTTTGCTTTATGAAAACGGAGAAGTTTGACTTAACAAATTTGAGAAGTTAGCCCTCTACTTTAATTTGTCAAAAAATTAGTTCTCATTCTTTATGAAGGCTGAGAAGTTAGTCCAGTAGTTAGAAATTAGTCCAGTTGTGGTGAACCCACAGTCTTTAACTGTTGATTTTTGCTAATTCCTCGTATATAAATTGCTGAAATGTTTATTTTCAGGCTAGCAATTTAATGGTAAAGTTCAGCAGTGTTACCCAATCGACCAACTTCTTAATATTCGTAAAGAATGAGGATCAGATTTCAAAAATTAAAGTAGAAAGATTAACTTTTCGGTTTTTGTAAAGTAGAACGATGAAATTCATATTTATATAAAATATTTTCATCACTAATCTGCCTTTTCTTCATAAGAAAAACAGGAGTAACAGGAGATAGTTTCTAAATTCATGGTACTTTTTTCAGATAGAGCTTGGATGTTTAGGTTTTCTTTACTTAAGAAAAATCACATTTCATTATGACCGTCCATTTCTTGTGCAATGGGGCAGGAGAATACAATTTCCTTTTAAGATATTGTCATGGCACTTCTGTTAATTTCCGTGGGGGATAAATGCCTTCATTGAACCATTGGGTTATGGTTTAATGGTGCTAGACATTTTAACTTTTGGATTTGCTATTTGTTAAAAAAATGCTAAATTTGCAAAGGCAGACAAATGACAAGCAGACAATATAGAGTTGCTTTCATGGGGGCTTAGAACTTAAACTTTTGCCCCATTCTGGTTTCGTTTTTAATTTGCATCAATATTTGAACTATTTTTCTTTTGGTCTATTTTAACTGGTTTATAATTTGATGACAACCTCTGATACAGTATGAAATTTTCAGCTGAAAGGAAACGGCGTGCGGAGGAGACACAGCAATCTGCAATGCCGAACGGCACAGGTTCTCAAAGTAATGGTGGTCCAAAGGTACTTCATGGAACTATTTCTGATTTGATTGTTGTTTCATGTCTCTCTCCCTCTCTTAACCCAACGGCTTTACCCATGGGAATTGCACAGCTCATGTATGTTGATTGCAGTGCTTAGATAGTATTAAGATATGCCTTCACCCTCCTTTTTGGACCGCTTTTTTACTAAGAGGGATTGAGTTTGCTGACATGCTATGTGGAAAAACTCTTTTATCTGATTATCTGCAGGCTCCTTTCCATCACGGAAACGTGAATGCCCAAGAGCAGGCTGCACCGAACAATATTCTGTTCATACAGAATTTACCTCATGAGACAACAAGCATGATGTTGCAGCTGCTTTTCGAACAGTACCCTGGGTTCAAGGAAGTTCGAATGATTGACGCAAAGCCAGGTATTGCATTTGTGGAGTATGAAGATGAAGATCAGTCTTCTACAGCAATGCAGAACCTCCAGGGTTTCAAAATTGCCCCTCAATATCCGATGGCTATCACATTTGCGAAGAAGTAACCTATGGTATAACTTGGTATACCATGTTCTTGTGCCGGCAGGCAATGTTCTCTCATACATTTTATGTTTCAAAATTGTGAACCAAGCTAGATGATTATATGATCGGGGACTGGATTTTGTTGTAAATTGGGAATTCCTGAAAGTATGTTTTGGGGTATCTGTGGCATCATGTGATTGAATTGGGGTATCGCTTGATGATAATGATAATATATACATACATGCATTCATGTTTTGGCCGTGTCGAGACATGTGCACTAGGAACTCTTGAAATTGAATCTGTCATGATGCTTCACTTCATTCTCTCCCTCCTGCATTCTATTATTATCAACTTTACCCTTTCCCTATTCCCCTATATACCCCAATTCAGGGTGAAGTATACCAAAAAAAATAATTAAAATATGTTGAATTCTTTTTTGAGTTATTAAAATTTAAAAAAATGATTATTGAACTTATGAAGTTTTTACAAAATGATTATTAAAGTCATGGAGATTAATATATATATATATATATCGTTATGTTTAGAAATATTTATATCATAACAATTTTTTGAAAATATTTTTCAAAGATGTTATAATTTTTGTTTTGAATCGTAAGATGTTACAAATTTTAATGTTATATTTTTATGTGTGGATTTTATATAATTGTATAATATTTATATTTTGATATGTTTGTAAAATGATAATTATTAATTAAAAACAAAATAATTACTAAATTCTATAAACTTTATGAAACGTTAAACTTTTGGTAAAATCGTCAACTAAAACCGGCCGTACTTATATGAAAACTATGCCATAGATCATGTCCTTCATCATTTTTAGTTTATAATTTTTTAGGCTCATTGGATTCAAAAGAACCTGATTTTCTGTTTACAGTGTTAATGGTGAGGTGCGTTGGGTGCTTTAATCTCACCACAACCTCCTTTTTCCACTGGAGAAAAAACTACTCCGGTGGAAATATTATCGGCTATGTTAACCTTCTCCTTCTTATTCAACCGAAAATTCAACAAGAAGAAAAAAAATGCATAGAGGTACAGTTTGACTGGTTGAAAGTAAACTCTGCAGAGAAGTTTGGCGACCGATTTGCAAAGAAAGAGGCCAACAATAATGTTAAGAATGCTGCTGGTAAAGCTTGTTCATGACAATGACCAAATCGAACACCTGAGAAATGGCAACTCACACACAAGCTTATGCAGTGACTAAACTCGAATTTTCTTTGATTAGTTACTTATTTTACTCGTAGTGTCTATTCTATAATTTTTTGTGTCCGAAATCTGATTTTTTTCCGATTATTTACTTATTAATTTTATGAGATTAACATATTACTACTCTCAAAAATATTTTTATCCGCAACTAAACTTATACCCAAAGCTCAACAGTGTGTCATTTCCCCTTCTATACTTTGAGCCCAAGTAAGAGTCTCCAATAAATTAACCCGTAGATAAGACACGACAGCTTAGATATTATGTTAAAATTCGTCTTCAACGCTAGAGGAAATAATTGTTTTAGTTTTGTTTTCTTTAAATATTTTTTATTCCAAAAGTTTTTTTAGATTAAAATTGAATGAAAATTATTAATTATTTAATCATTAATATTTATCAATAATATTATAATTTTTATATGTATGAAGTGATAATATGATACATATCACATTATTATTTATGTACATGTGATGTATAAACATGTCATCATGTATCTTGATGTGACATACATTGCATCATCACATATGTATCATATCATCACTTATATATGTAGAGATGAACTTAGATTAGAGTCCATCTGTGTAATATGTCTTAAAAAATTTAAATTTTTATATATTTTAGATATTTTTTAATAAAATTTTATAAACTTATTTCATCTTAAAATTTTATAAATTCAACACCTCCAACATGAAACCCACGTCTATCCCTCATTTACGTGATATATGTAATGTTATCACTTTAAATGTATAAGATTTACGACATCAACAATAAATATGGATTGATAATTAACTAATAATTTTTATTTAAACAGATATCATATCATTCTAATATAAAAAAAAATTGGACTAAAAAATAACTGATTCCTTGTACAGGATAAGGATGATAAGCTTTATGGTAATTGGTTAATAGGTGAAGGGAAAACAGAGAGCTTACCGATAATGAAAGTAACAGGTTACGTGATGAACAGTGAGCCGCCATCCCCTCAAAATCTCACGAGCTTTGACTTGTGAATTTCGGTTAATTCTCATATCAAAAAATAAATAAATGTTTTTAAATTAATACAACACATAAAATTTGTAATATATTAGATTGTCTCAAATTAATTTTATTTATAATATGAAAATTTTAAACATCAATATTCATCTAACACTCAATGTATATGATAATCTTAATTATTTTCGATCTCAACAAATTAATATATATTAAATGAGAAAAGATTTAAACTTCAATTTTAGTTCTTTTAAGATGTAACAGTAATAACACGTAATCTCATATATATTTTTCAAGAATCTCACTGAATTTTTTAAAATATCAGGATCTCTATAATTATTTATACGGATACAATTCGATTATTCCCACGGTTAAATATAATAATCCTTGTCTATATCCACATTTGAATTTGGGGATAAAACTTTCTCAATCTCTATTCTTATGGATGAAGGTTTCGATTATTTTCCATTTCGTGGTTCGGATCCCTATGATTTTCGATTCCCCACCCTATTGCCGCCCTAGGCGAATCCCACTATGTTTTCAACGATCAAACTTCCAGTGAACTTCCCAAAACTGCCCCCAAAAATAAAAATCTAAGAAGAAGAGAAAGTCTGTGCCTCGTATGTATAATACGTGAGCGGTGAGCGGTGAGCCGTGACCATCTTCTCTTCTCTTCCGTCATATATAAGTCCCCATCTATCCCTTCACATAAATTTCTCTCTTCTTTCTACCCCTGTTTAATGGCTTCTTCTTACACCAGCCTTGACACCTACGCCAACTCCCAGCCTCAAAACGCCTTTAGTTTCTCCTCTTATCCCTTCATGACCACCTCTTTCTCCGATCTCCTCGCTTCAGGCACCACCACCGACGACGATAACCCTTCTTCCACCGCCGCCAAACGTGGAGGCACCTTGTCCTTGTCCGACCGGATTGCCGAGAGAACCGGCTCCGGTGTCCCCAAGTTCAAGTCTCTTCCTCCTCCTTCACTGCCTATCTCTCCTCCTCCCGTGTCTCCTTCTTCTTACTTCGCTATCCCACCCGGACTCAACCCGACTGAGCTTTTGGTCTCTCCTGTTTTGTTTAACTCTTCTAACGTAAGCATCAGAAATGGAATTATCTGTTTTTTTTAGTTCTTCTGTTGCTGATCAATTTTTTTAAGGTGTTTTGATTGATGGGTGTTTCTTATTTTTCTGTTTTACGTACAGATTCTTCCATCTCCTACCACTGGAACATTTCCACCTCTAGCTTTCTTCAACTGGAAACCCAGTTCTGGAAATACCCAGCTGAACGTCAAACGTGAAGACAATAACGATTTCTCTTCCCAAACTCAGTCCAACGCGATTCAAACTGTATGTAATCATTTTTCAAAGATATTCTAGTCCCTTGATCATCTTTTTTTGAACATTTTTCATTGAATTTATGCAGAGCTTTTCCCCTGAGATTGCCAACATTCAAAGTAACTCCCAAAGCTTCCAATCAGATCACGGAAATTACCAGCAGCAAAGAGGGAACCGAAAATCCGATGATGGCTACAATTGGAGGAAATATGGGCAAAAGCAAGTGAAAGGAAGCGAGAATCCAAGAAGTTACTACAAGTGCACGTACCCCAATTGCCCAACGAAGAAGAAAGTTGAGACTTCATTGGGCGGGCAGATAACTGAGATAGTTTACAAGGGTAGCCATAACCATCCTAAGCCTCAGTCCACTACACGATCATCGGCATTGTCTTCGTCTTCGATTGCTATTCAGACTTCGAGTGCTGCTATCCCTGAGATCAACGATCATTCACTTATAACTCATGGCAGTGGACACATGGATTCCGTTGCGACACCTGAGAATTCCTCTATATCAGTTGGGGATGATGATTTTGAGGGTTGCCAGAAGAGCAAATCCGGGGGAGATGAAGATGAACCAGAGGCCAAAAGATGGTATGTTTTGTTTTAGAAATTTTTGCCTTTTTTGTTACTATAAATAAAATAACATTATGATTACTTGTTTCCAGGAGGAGTGAAGGTGAAAATGAAGGAATTTCAGCAGCTGGGAGTAGAACTGTGAGGGAACCAAGAGTTGTGGTTCAAACAACTAGTGAGATTGATATTTTGGACGATGGCTATAGATGGAGAAAATATGGGCAGAAAGTGGTGAAGAGAAATCCAAATCCAAGGTAAATTTCAGCTTCATTAAGCTGTTATACCATTCATTTTATTGGTTTTGTTTGTTGTTCTAATTGGAAATGCTTCCAGGAGCTACTACAAGTGCACATATGCAGGATGTTCGGTGAGAAAGCATGTGGAGCGAGCCTCACATGATCTGAGAGCAGTGATCACATCCTACGAAGGGAAGCACAACCACGATGTCCCGTCGGCTCGCAGAAGCGGCAACCATTCGATCAATAGGCCTTTACAGAACAACAACAATGGGGCAATGGCAATAAGGCCATCAGCTGTTAACAACCCTCGGGCATCAGCAGCTGAAGGCGAGTCTCCCTTCATGCTGGAGATGTTGCAGGGCACCGGAAACTTCGGGTTCTCAGGATTCGGGAACACGATGAATCAGCAACATGATGGAAACAATAAGTTCTCAAGGACCAAGGAAGAACCAAGAGATGAAGCGTTCATCGAGTCGTTGCTATACTGAAATTAATCTGCCAGGGGAAATTGAAGGTTTTGGGATCAAGTATGGAATAGAAGAGAGTCAAGAAAATCATGAGAATAAGGAGCTCTGGTTAATTTAATTAATTGCATTCTGTTTGTTTGTTGTATATTCCACGAGATTGGTTTGTTTATATTTCTATTTAGAAGGGCAATGCCTATAGGAGCCTGTAATAGTAAGTCGGCATACTATTTTGATTGTTCTGAAGCCACTCTCTTGGGGTAGACATGAACATGAAAATTAGCTGACCCTATTCCCATTATATTCCCATATGTAATGGGGTAAGGGAGGTAGGGTAGTAGGATGCCCCCAACACCAGGTTGAGAGCAGCTTCCGTGAAAGATCTCTCCGTTATAAATTGTCCTAATTAGGACTCGATCCCACGACCACAAATTAAGAGTCTTGTGCTCTACCAACTGAGTTAGACGGACAAATCGTTTCCTTTTTTTAATAACACAGGACACCATGCCAGTGATCCATTTTCCTTTTTTTATATTAAAAAACTCTGTTGAAGATAGAAATTATTTTATGGATTTAGAGACAATGCTAACTATTTGAAACATTTAGGCTTTTAGGTGGAAACCCATACAAGAGTATTTCTATCAAGAAAATGACAAGTGAGTTGGTTCCAAGCTTAACTTACTTTAAATGCTAAATGTGTTAGGTCCAAACTCGATGTATCTTCATGACAAACAACCAAAGTACTGACTATGCTTACCAATGGAATTTTACGTATAATTGTTTTATTGAACGAGTGACATAAATATTGCACTTGAATACACCATCTTATGATAAATATGCTCATTTTCTCCCATGCTTTTCATGTTTTTCTTCTCTTCGAAAGCATGCTCAATAGAAGTTGGATATGCTTTCTGGAGCTTAAAACACTTAAATGTACAAAAGGACTTGAATGATATATAACAAAACTTTGTTCTTCTTCGATAGCTGCTCTTTCATAATTTATGATTATTTTGTTTATGACGTTGGCTTCTCTTATATGAGGTTTTTCTATGTTGAAGTGGTTGTTTTATGTATCCAAAGTAATGATGTGATACATATCATGTGTTCAAAATGACAATATAATATATATTACGTGTTGAAAATGATGATGTGACACATATCGCGTGTTGAAAATGATAATATATATATATATATATATATATATATATATATATATATATATATATATATATATATATGTCTTGTTATCATTTTAAAGATATAAAATTTATCACGTTAAATCGAATAATAATTTTTATCTAATTGATGATTAGCCTTGTAGTAAAAAGTCCCAATTATGACGAGGGTTTTCATCTAATATAATTGGGTACCTCTTGATATCATAGTTAAACTAAGGGTTAATTACATAGATGATAACTTATCTTTGTGTTTTGTTTACTTTTGATAATTGATTTCAGAAAACATAAGATATGGTCATTTTTTTTTAAATATTTTTATATAATCACATTTTTTGTCCATGTTATTTATATATTCTCTCAATTTAGTCATACTTTTAATAAATTAATATAAATTTAATCATTGAATCGAACGATGCCACATGCCACTCATCGACCTATTGACCCAGTTAAAAAATATCGGGTATTTATAATAACAATACTCGATTTTCCGGGTCGAGTTTCTGGGTCGAGCATGGGTCACAAATGTTGGTTAATCGGACACCCTCCGACCCAATACCCGATTTATTATATACTTTTTATTTTTCATTTTTATTTTATATTAAATTTTTATTCATAATCCTCAAATTATTTTACTATAACATTCTAAAATCCTAATTTCTTAAATTATTTCACATTAACGTTCTAAATTATTTTTTAAAATATTTATTTTAACTTCCAAACACTTAAAATTTAATTATATTTCTTTATTTTAAATTTTATTTCAATTATGTAATTTGAATTTTTAAACTTTATGTGTGGATTATATATATTATAGACTTTTAAATTTGAAATTTTAGAATTTTTATATAACTTTTTTTAACAAATAATATAATTTAAAGAAAAAAATAAAAAAAAATTATGAATTGGGTACCCATGACTTGAATTATATATATATATATATTAACTTAAAATATTTTTATATCAACTTATTAAATATATTTTATTATTAACTTAATTTAAAAATATTTTATTTTCATTTAAAAATATAAATTTATTCAAAGTATGATCAAATTGAGAGAATATATAAATAACATAGACCCAATACGTGAATATATTAAAATATTTAACTCGAAATAATCATATCTTAATTAAATAAAAACAAAAATAATCATGATAAAAAATATATAAAATACAAAGATAAATTATCATATATGTAATTAACTTAAATTAATAGTTGAATCGTCGTCGGTTAGAGGAGCAGATAAAGTTGGAACGGGTCAAAACGAGGAGGTGGGGATGTTTTGGTCAAGGTCAACTTGCATTACAGATGTCCCAAGGAATGTAGACATTTGATAAAGGGCAAATTAGGGATAGCATAAAATTCATAGGAATGAAGTTTATTTTTGTGCGTGAAATGGAGAATGAAGTGCCCCAGGGGAGTGGTAAGTTCAAATAAAAAGTTAAAAAGGGTTTGGCCCCCCTCCACGCGGTTATCTAATCTCTATCAATTTGTAGTCAAGCTTCCTTAATCGGCGGAATTGGACAAATAATTGGTGGATTATTTAGCTCAATAAAGTAACATGAAATTTATTTTAGGATGTACGATAAATATTACAGTGCACATGAAATTCGTCATGTCGGTATGATAAATTTATGAGATATATTTTTTAATAGGTCGTGTCATGTGGGTCCCATAATCCAAATTAATTTAATATATAATTTTTTTGAATTTTTTAAAAATATTAAAAAAATATTATTTTATTACTGATGGAACTCGTCACGCCGATCTGACGAGTTTCAACAGGTATAATTTTGAATTTGTTGATCGTTATTGAACGAGCATTTTTTTTAAATTTAATAGAACTCATCACGCCGGTGTGACGAGTCCTAACGGCTTAAAATTTAACATACATAACACACTCATTTCATCTCTTACACACACAAAACACTCCTTTCATCTTCAATCTCTTACACAACAAACTCCTTTCTTCTAACCAAATACATTTCAAAAAATATGCAACAAATTCTTCATAGTTGTCTATTATAATGGTAAAATTCTACAAATTGATGTTGGTGTTGTGTTTAAGTCTCACAGGCCCATCAATATGATGTTCCTTGTAGATGTATCTCATCTCCAAATGAAGCAAAAAATTGAGAGAAAACTTGGACCTTATGTTTCATGTTTAAGTTATCAACACGTGATATCCTCAAATCCAATCACATATGGAAAAGTCCAGCTTGATGATGACGACGATATCACTGTTATGGTTGGACTTCATCAATCATCAAATAATAATATGGTGGAGATTTACGCCAAAACCATGATTGCAACCGATATTCCGACCTCATCAGTACCATCTCGAAGAACAGAAGAAGCAGTACCCTCTGAACCACATGTAAGTGATACTGATGATAACCTTGTTAGACGGTTCGGTGAAAGCCTTATTGAATTTAGCGATGATGATGAAGATATTGTTTCATTGCTAGACGATGACGACACACCATTAGTTGATGGGTCCGATGTTGTTGAGGTTGCTTCAAAGGGACAAGGTGTGGATGTTGAGGCTGATGTATGGGAGGCAACTCTTTCAAGATGTCAATAATTGCAAAATGCTCCAAATGTTTGGGCAAAAACATACCATCAACCTGAAATGCCTCGCCATGATTTGCCTCGGTATCATCATGCAATTGCAATGTATAACATTAACTATAATACTATGAGGAATCTTGAAATATATGATATGCCAGAGTTATGTGCTGCCCACCGGGGTTCTTTAGACGAGCGATCATCTGAGTTGACCATTGGGTCTCATTTTGAAACAAAAAAGAGGCATAACTAATAATCAAAGAGTATTGCATAAAAGCTCATATTCAATTCTATGTGGCGGAGTCGGATCAAAAGACTTATTTTGTACGATGTGTACACCATCATATTGGTTGTAAATGTAGGATACGAGTATCATACCTACAATGGAAGCTATTGTGGGAAGTCAAAAGATTCAATGCACAACACGCATGTACAATGACCTCCTTAACACAAGACCACATATTTAGATTCGAATGTCATATGCTCTTATGTGAAGTTGTTGGTGGAAAAAAATCCAAAAGTGCCTATTTCTGTGTTAGTGACATCCATTCGGAATACATTTGATTATATTCCGACTTATTACAAGGCATGGATGACTAAAAAGAAAGCAATGACCTTGTTGTATGGTGATTGAGATCAGTCATATACGAGTATCAATTATTTTTTATACAATTAAATATTGAGTACAAAAACTTAAATAAACAAATTTATTATTTATATTTGAGCAATTCTTGTCGACGTCGAGGAGTGGTAGAATAGTAATGACGTGGTGCTCGTTGATTTCGTCGTGGTCGTTCACCTTCGTCATTTTCCTCTTCTTCTGGTTCCGGTGTACTGAACATTACTCTACCACTTTAATTTCATCTTCGGGTGAAAATGATGGAGTATTCAAGTATTTGAATCCATCATTGACGTCATCGCCTCAAACTGAGATTGTCCGTGATAATGAAGATGATCTCATGGACCTCTTTCTTCCGGTTATGAGAAAAATTATTGTGAAAGTGACACTTTATCCCACCCACGCCACTCGACTCTCCATCGATGGTTGATATGCACCATATCCACCATAACTTTCTTGTGATGGATAATAATTGACGGAAGCATAAGATGAAAATGTTGATGAAGATGATGATTTTTTCCATATTTTGCCTTCATTATTTCCCACTCGAACCGTTCCTCCGGTGTTGTCAAGTATGGTTTCCCATTTGCTTCATAATTTTGAAGGTATGGAGAAACACTAAAATTAAAATCTTCGGGTTGTACCTTGGAACGATTAGGCAATCGTAAATGTCTATTTTTCCATTACTATATGAATATAATATGTTTCATTTGCCAATCTTCGCTAT